GTGCTCCTGAACCCCAACCCACGGCCCCAGCCCCCTGCCCCCCACAGTCCTCCAGTGCCCGTCACTCCCGACATGCAGCCCCTGGCCCCCCAGCCCTGCCGCTGCTCCTCACTCCCAGCCTGCAGCCCCTGCCCCCCCAGCCCTCCAGTGCCTCCGACTCCTGACCCGCGGCCCCCACCTTAGCCAAGTCATCCTGGACGGCCATGAAGTTGAGGAAACCAAGAGACACCAGGTTGGCACCGTGGACAACCGTCAGCAGCTTCTCCTCGGGGTGGGGGTGGGGGTCCGCTCCCCCAAAGCCCAGCACCTCCTGGGTCTTGGGGTCCTGGGGGAGGGGAGAAAGGTGTGGAGCTACGAGCAGGTCCTGCCCCCCTAGGGTCCAGTGTGGGGGTGAGATGCACCTGCTTCTGGGGTGAGAAGTGGCCAAGTACAACAGGGCCCAGGATTGGGCCCAAATGGTTATCAGGCATTCAAACCCCACCCAATACGCTGCCCCCATACATCCCCAGCCCTCAGAGACCCCCCCAGGCCCATCATGCCCCCCCATCCCCTATAGAGGGACCATGTTGGGGGGGTGGGGGGAAGCAGGGGCTGCAGATTGGGAGCGAGGGGCACAGGCCAGGTTGGTGGGGAGGAGGCTGTGGGTTGGGAGTGAGGGGCACAGGCAGGTAGCGGGGGGAGAGCAGGGGCTGCCGATTGGGAGTGAGGGGCACCAGCGGGGCTGCAGGGCGCAATCCTTGCATGCGAGTAGCGGAGCCGCAGGCACTGGGCCAGCCCCATGCAAAGTGCTGCAGCCGCAGGCACATGCTGTGGGTTGTGGCTTGGGGGAACCCCCCCCACGCCTGCCCCACAGGACTCAGGCATCTAGGAGCATAGCCTGACCCAGATTTGGCATCCAGGAGCCCGGGGGGGGGGGCGGTGTGCATGTGGGGGGGGCCTCCTAACCCAGATCTGCCCCCTCCCCTGCCCCAACTCCAGAGGGAACCCAGGCATCCGGGAGAGCTGCGTAACCCAGATCTACGCTCACCCCTCACGCCGCTCACAGCCCCGCTCAGAGCAAACGCAGGCCTCGGCGACTGGGACAGCCCCCCAAGCTCCCGTGTCCCAGGCGTCCCGGAGGCCTGCACCAGTGGCCCCCAGCCCAGAAAGGACCCAGGTGTCTGGGAGCTGTCGGGGAGCTGGTGACCTAGATATGCCACCGCCCCCCCCACGACCCTGGAGTGAACCCAGGTGTCTGGGGTGCCGCGCCCCAGCGGGAACCGGGCATGCAGGAGCAGGGGCAGAACCGCACCCCTCCTTCGGGTGCGAGGCTGGGACAGGAGCCCCCCCCCAGGGAACCCAGGCATGCGAGTGGGTGGATCCCTGTACTGGATTCCCTTCTCCCCTCCCTCCCCAGAGGGAACCCAGGCGTCCGGGCGGGGCCCAGCCCTGCACAGCCAGATGCCTCCCTCTCTTCCCCTCCCCCCTCTCCCCCAGCTCCCAAAAGGACCGTCCGGCGCCCGACCGGCCACTTCCTGCCCCATCCGAAGAGGCAGAAGGAGCCCCGCCAGGAGAGGGCGTGGGAAAGGGCGCCTCCGCCTGGGACCGGGGCGGGCGGGGGGTGGAATTTGCCCCCAGCCCCTTGGGGCAAGGCAGGAGCCCCCAGGACAAGCCCCGTCCCTGGGCCCCGCCAGGACCGGGGGCGACACAGAACTCCGTACGCCGCCAGGGGCGAGAAAAGGGGGCGATACCCCCAGCTGGGGCAGCTACCCCCTCCCCCACACAAACACCGCCCGAATTGCCCCCAGCCAGCTCCAGGCCGGGGGGAGGGGCAAAAGGAAGGAGGGGGCAGGCGGGGGCTGTCAGGGGTATCCGGCCGGGCCGGGGCTGATAAGGGGCTGGGATCGGGCCAGGGACTTCCGGGCCGGGACTTACCAAGGGGGGGCGGCGGGGGGGGGAGACCCCCCAGCCCCGCAC